ACGTAAACAAAGGCTCGTTCTTGATGTATTACACTATTCTATTTTCATCGTACTGTTCACCAAGTATTTGAGTTCTAATATCATAAGATACAAATTGGTTTGAAAATCTAAAACACTATACTGTTTATTAATTTCACCCTAGTCAAGAAAACCGTTATTCTGCTTTGATAGATCGTTTAGACAGAATATTAATGATGAAACTTTGTAGAATGGACAGTAACTGCCTGTTGTAGAGACACAAGTGTAGAGGACAAAGTTGTTGTTATTCTGTTCTATCATGTATCAACTAAACTTAGAAATTAACACACAATAACCCAATACCTTACCTGAGAAGGGTCTCCATCTTCTGTTACACTAACAGCAATGTCTGTGGTGTTTGTGCCGTAAAAATTGCCCACTGTCACTGAACTAAAAATATAAACCAATAAACTGCTATAACATGAAAGTTTTTTTTTTTGTAACAGTAAACTACTTCTACATGACACTTTGACTACAGTTTTGTACTGTAAAAACTTTAGTTCTTATAAATGACACTCCAGAATGTACTAGCCCATAAAAAACAAAAAACTTGACTTTGATGATCTTCGGTTAGTTTATTGCAAACATAACGTTTCGACACTTACATAATGCTTTACATTACACTTTACCATGTGACAAACCTAATGTTTTTTACTTGCACAGTACACGAGATGACACTTCATCATGTAAAAAGGTTAAGGTTCATCTTGTAGGAAAACTCAGTGTTTACTACGTAAAATACCTAGTACTCAATATACAAGCTAATTTGGGCCACTTTAAAATTTAAAACTTGTTACTCAAGTTGCACTGAGTTATTTGCATAACTGGTGTCTAAAAAGTAACAACTATTTCCCCACTTATAACACCTGCAATTAAAATATCCATGAAATACATAAACAATATATCAATGGGCAAAAAAAAAAAAATGTAAAATTTTAAAGCTATAAATAAAAACCAGCTATACAATAGACAGAAAGTTAAAGAAAAACTACTACAAATTCCATACGTTTTAAACTTTCAATCTGACCCTAGGGTCAGTTAAATTCAGTGGATATAGATTATTGTACTGACGTTGAAAGTACACAAAATAAAATGCATATAACAGAGATGAAATCAATTTTAACATTCAGATCCTATTAAGGAAGAGTGGTACTTCACACTTTAATACTCAAATTATCAACTCGTTTCAATATCACTCTCTACATGTGGAAGTTCTTATATGTGCACACACAGTATCATACTGAATAATTTGATGTTTTTTTGTCTGTTACAACATTCAGTTTAAAGAAATCAACAAAACGACTGATGGCAATACTAATGATTTTTGTTTACACTTTTTGGGCAACTCTTAACAGTTTAAAAAAATCCAAGAGTCAACATGAACTCTATCACTAATTCTAGGGTTAATAAAAAAACTACCTGATTATCGTATTTGGAGCCAGAAAGAAGGTCCACTTATTAGAATAATCCTGGTCTTTGAGGAGGACAATATTTGTTTCATTCCAAACGATCACGTCTTCTTTACTTTCTCCTGCAGGCACATTTAACAAATGAAAGTCTGTGATTTGGTCAATCCTGTAATATACAGAATACACGCATACAATAATGAAAAAAAATATATAAACCTTTGTATGATTGCATATAAAAATGAGAAAAATATTACATGTTGCATAACTCAACTGATTAATCATGGGTTAAAATAAATTTACCTTTTATGAGTGAAGTCTGGATATATATATACAAGTTGCTATTTAAACAAACATTGTTATATTCATGTATTCTTAAAACACACACACACACACACACATTTATTTATTCTATAAATATTACATCAAAGTGCTGTAAAGAAGTAAACACAGCATCCGAGCTTTAAAACATGTGATTATTATAATTATACCTACCCTGGAACCTGAATAAGATTTATTTTTGTTTTCAACATTTTGGACTGACATAAATCTTCCACAGAAATGGACCACAGATGTCCTACAGGGAATACAACAGCACCAAAATTAAAACATAACTGTTATAAACTTCCTTCAGCGTTTCAGTAGTGATACTGTCTCTTAATATTTAATATCAAAACTTATCTTAGTTTTTCAGGTGTCATGATACTTCTATAACTGTAACAGTGATTAGTAACTTGTGTACAATTATATCTTTACAGTAATTATTTTTATATTTCTTTAGAGCAATATTTTTCTTCAAACTAATCACAGTTATTGGTACTTACAAACTTAAAGTGTTTCACATATTACACAAATGCAACCTTGTATTAGCAGAATCAAAATCTGTTTGCATTTCGTATACTAATCAATAACACAAGTATCTCACTGTTTGTATATCTTATGTATATTGTGAACCGTGGTTTCAGTCCAAGCATTCGTCTGTCTCCCATCTGTAATGACGGGAGAACAGGCATGAATAATGTTGATGCCAAATTTTATTTCACAAGCAGGATATTCTACACTAAATTGTTAGGAATTAATCACACTATCATTAACATTTCAAAATGTGACGTAACTTAAAGAATAAAAATGTAGATTTATCGTGTGTTATTGTTGACTGGCTCTTAGCATGACTGAAATGCTCAACAATTACTTTTTGTGGTGGTCGGGAAAAGTAGCTCAAAGATTTGGCTCCGAGTGAAACCAAGAGTGCAACACAATTAATCTTTTTAAAGTCCATGAAATAATTTAAATTGATAGATTAGCTTAAACTTTTCTCATCACTGGGGACGAGTACTTTTGCTTGTCATGTATAAAACAAATATACAGCTTAGCATTGTTGTTATTTAGTGCAAGGATACACAATGGGCTATCTGCAATCAATTCACTGCAGGGAATAAAACCATAGATTTTTAGCCTTCTAAGTCAGTAAACTAACAGCTCATCAGGGGATCTGCTTTGTACTAAACCTATCAAAATGTTTCACATTTCAAATGCTGAAAAAGGTTTTATTAACTTAGACATCTATACATTCATCTCACCACTTATATTAGATCGTCAAGAAATCAATGTCGCATTTACATCACGAATAATAGTTAAACGAACCTCATAAACATCACATTAGTGTAGCCTTGTATAATGTGTTAGGTTTAGTGTACTCTAATCCCTTATAGTGATGGCACACAACGAGACACATATATTTGGCATGTAATGCTGTTTGAATACAAGAAGGGTAACAATGCCTCTGTAGCTACAAAGAATATCAAAGAAGTTTATGGAAATGTTTCGAACGTTCGTAAGTGTCAACGATGGTTCAGCAAATTTGGTTCAGGCAATTTTAGCCTTAAAAACTGTGATGGCAGGGGCGGAAAAGTTGGAATTGACATTGATGCTCTGAAAACATTTGTTGAGTCTAACACAAGGAAACACACTCGTGAAATGGCCCTGAAATTGCATGTCTCTCATGAAACAATAC